AGAGGTGGAGGTGAAGTGTGGTGGGGTGGAAGGAAAGGAATACGATAAGAATAGATTGTGGGGGCAGATTCCTGCAACAACAGGTGGTTTCCTAGAGTGGTTGCAGGGATCCAAGGAAGAGGGGTAGGGAGGAAGATGGGAGAGGATACAACACCACTTCGGAGCGGGATACAACTAAAGCACCACCTGTCGTCGAGTACAACTCTAACAAGGGAAAAGGAGACTCCCATGGAGAATCTGAAAACAACAATCAAACATAACCTAACTCTAATCTCAGCAAACAACATATATATAAGACGCCCACAAAAAATTAAAATAAAAAAATAAAATAAAATAAAAGCAGAATAGGAAAGATTGCGGAAGGACTGGGCGACTTTGCTGCCCTGTTTTGGGCCTAGATCGGGACTTCTTGGAACCGACTGAACCGGTTCCCTGCCCCAGTGAGTTGGCCCCTAGCCCCGCATCATAAAATTTATATTTTAATCTAGGTAATGAATATTAATTAGCTTATAACATTTAACTTTCTCTCGAAGGCTTACATGAAGTACAACATATCATATCATAATTTGTCCTTTTGTATATAACACAGTCATCTCAAGCGCCTTGTTCAGTTGTACCGTTATGATGCATTAATGTCAATAATCTTTTTGAAGGCTATCACATCAGTGATGTGAAGACAGAAACCTCTGTATGTGGATACAAACATCCCTATCTCGAACCATAAGTGGTAACTCCATCATTTTGCATGCATGTACAGGTATGCTATACATCCACCTATGCAGGATAAAATTTACGTAAACAATTATGATATCAAATGAAATCATTTATTTTATTTAGATTATGAGAAAAACTACCTGTATTAGGAAGAGATAAATCATTGAAGGATCGTTTACGGTAACATCATCTCATGCATTTTAATGTTTAGGAATCATACATATCACAATTAACTGTATCAAGTTCAGGAGAAGTGAGACATCACTCTAATATAGAAATGGGATAACATACCTTAGCTTTTGATTCATCAATCCATCCTTGGATACCACATTTTTAGCACAATACCTATAATGCTATATAATCACATGTAAGATGTGTACATTAATTTTGAATCTTTGCTTGGTGATTCATTTCCTGGTTCCTAACCATAAAGCCTTGTGTTCAATCTTCGCTTCCTAAACCGTTGATTAGGTGTTCATTTCTTTTTGGCTATTGTATCAAATGTATTGTCTCTTTTAGTGATTGTTTTTTAAATCCTATAATTGACATTATGCCTTTTTATAAATAACATTGGATATGTTTCTAAATGTTGATTAAATTTTCAAAATTTTAAAGTATTCATAGAATCATTTACTTCTTTTTTATTTATTAATATTTATACACCTAAATTAAATATATGAATCTATATCTAAGTTTACTTGCTTTCATTCTTTACATTAGTAATTCTAATTTTGCTCAATTTTTCTAGTAAAATTTCAGTTTTCCCCTTAATATAAATTAAATCTTAGAAATCTATTTAGCAAATATACAAATGTACAAATCATCCTTAGTTTAGATTCATTAATTTTTTTTCTTAACGTAAGATTTTCTATACATTCATTAAGAAGTTTTAGATTTCAAAATCCAATATTTAAACCCTAGAAATATTTTAAATAAAATGTGATATTTTTACATATAAATTAGTTCTAAGTTTCTCCAATCTAATTTCTTGAAGGGAAGAAGAAACATGATTTAAATTTTATCTTGTTTTAATAGAGTGGTATAAAGTGTTGTGGAGATGAGAATGCTTAGGTGGATTTGGCTTTACACTTAGATACAAAATGCGAAATGAATATATCCTTGATAGGGTTGGCGTAGCTCCTGTGGCGAACAAAATTAGTAGAGTCGTCTTAGATGGCTTGGTCACATTAAACATCGACCATTCGATGATGCGGTTAGGAGTATAGATGTTTTAGATCCGACTTATGTTAAGAAAGGCAGAGGCAGGCCTAGAAAGATTTAGGCATATTGTATAAAAACTGATCTTAATTTATTATAATTAAATGAAAATATGACATTCAATAGGACGCAATGGAGAAAAGGATTCATGTAGCCGACCCCACTTAGTGGGATAAAGACTTGTTGTTGTTGTTGTTTTAAGTCAAAGAGGAGGAAGAAGAGGAAGAAGAAAAGAGTTTCATTGCTTCACTTTCTCCTTTCTATACTTTTCTTATGCTTGGCGGCCCTTGTTCCGCTTGACTTCTCCACATATAGCTGCTAACATTTTTGACCTTTGCTTCTCGTGTTCCCTATTATATCACTTATGAATCTATTGATCTCCTCACCTGCTCATGCCTACTCTTCACCTACTCACTCTTTTCCCATGCACGTGTCCATCTTTCCATAGCATTTGTTGACTATATATGATATATATTTTGGTATATTTATTCTTTATTTTTTATAATAAATATAACCAGCATACTTTAAAATATATAAATGTTATTTATAACATTTTATGTTTACACATCCAATTTATCATTAATAAAAAATGATTTCCACAAATTCTTCTCCCGTTTACTTCTCAAAATTTATCCTTCACATAAGTGATTTTTTGTTTATTTTCAGAAAGTCACTGATGTTAAATCAACCCAATTTAAACCTCTTGATTAAATCCGAGAAGATTTAGTTAAAAATTAAAATTATTTATTCAATGTTATTATTAATTATTTTTTTAAATATATAATTATATGGGTTTTTGCAACTATGATGAAGATGAAGATGTCATCCATACAAAAGCTTGGTTTGCTTTCAAAAAGGAAATAAAAAAAAGAATAAAAATAAAAAACAGAACAAGATATATGGCGGGAATGCTCACATTAGTCCTTCCCAACACCTTTATTTGTCTCGTGACTCATAGTATTTCTTTGATAAAGCTGGTTTATTTTGATAAATTGATGGAGAAATCATTATTTCTTCACGCTTTATGAATATCATTTTTTGTGCTTATGTAATTTAATTCTACTTTTTTGTCCTTTTTTAACGAATGCATTAATACGTTTCTAGCAAAGCTTTACTCTCACATGTCATAATCCTGCAAAGTCTGTTATTGCATACTTCCAGCGGTCCTGTTGATTGTCCTTTCCTTCTGTTGCATCAGATCCGTGGGAGTAAACTTCATAACAAAGTCAGGTACATCACCTCTGTGTCTTATGGTTAATGTATGCTAGAAGAATCTCGACAGCAAACACTTATAATTATTTACTACTATGTTTGGTCAACACAGCTGCTTTGATTGCATTTACAATAAAAGCCTGTCCTCCATTAGTTTAGCATGTCCTCCTTAGGAATATTTTTCATCGACCGAGATAGCTACTTTTTATTTTAAAATAGTGTTGCTTTGTTTAAAATTTTATATCTTTTATGGTATTGACAGAGCACAAGTCAGTCAGAAAGCATGGTTTGTAGGTTTCCTACCATTTGTTTTTAGGTGAATATAAGTACTCTGCTGTATATTGACCTAGATACATGTCATTTGTAGCTTTGAAAGGTTAAAAGTCTCAGTGTATTGTGTGTTTATGTTTGAGAGGTTATAACACATGGATCTGTTCCGTAGTAATTTGAGCTGGTTTCCTTGTTCTCTGACATTAATCTGCCATTAAATATTTAATACTCTACCATGCTTTGTGAATTTATTTGCAACCATGGTATCACATTCTCACGCCTATGATTTATTTTTCCTTCTTTTATTTGAATTACTGAAGCAATATCACATAGAGATTGTTGCAATTGTTTATTATGTTCCAGATCCAAGCTAATGAGGTCCACTTCCAACTTGTAAGATTTTACAAGTGGGTTTGAGGATTGAACTGAAGTTTCAAGCTAGGTCTTATTGCAAAGGCTCTTTGTCAAAATAGTGCTGCAAGTTTATGTGTACACTCCTATTCACGAACTTTTAACCCAATATAATATCCAAATATAAGATATGGATACTCATTCCAATCAAAGTATTATGGTGCTGTAGTTTTTTTCTGATATTTAGGATTAGGATGATGATCACAAGGGCTGAAGTTTGGATAATGATGTCAACTTTAAACTTGTAAGATTCTACACTGAAATTATAGTGTTGTTGACCTCATTTTTGTGAGGTCTTCTCTTCTCCTCCTTAGGAGCCTAGGATCTAGCTCTAGGAGTTCCTATTGACCGTCCTAGAAAACTAGAATTGAGACTCACCCTTTTAGAAATTCTAACCACTTCCTATTTTTCTTTGATGTCCTGCATTTATGGCACAAGACCATCGTCTTACGAAAGAGTGGTTATGGGCTATTTTGTGAAGACTCAGGGGAAAAGTTTCCAATAGGACTCAAAGCCTTAGGAAAACATTCGTCATGACTTTTTCGTCACATACACACACAAAATGCACATAATTCAATGAATTGCAAAGATCGGACTTTAATTGAGCCTAAAAGATAGGTGAAAATGCAAACTTCTCCGGACGACCTCCGACGACAAAATGGACTGTGCCAACGCATCCGAGATACCAATTTTAGTAGGAAATGACACCCATTTTGCCATATTTTCGGCACGAGAAAATTGACACGCAAATCGGTGAATTCGTCGAAGCAACCTCTGACGGCGAAATGAACTGCGCCGGAGCGTCCGGAATGTCGAAATTACCTAAGGATGACATCCATTTTTTTTTGCTAGGGCGC